CTGCCAAGAAATTGTGCAGAAATAATTGCAGAAACTTCAACAGTACAGGTTTGGTTAATTCTATAAGAATTAAGATGATATTCTGTACATTGTTTGTAGCTAACAGAGGATAAAAAGTAAAATTTTGTGTAGTTTAAGTCTATATTAGAGGTCCAATAAGTAATAGAGTAGTAGTTAGAAGATGGAAAATATTTTATATTTTTCCGATAATAATTTTATCATTATAATATGAAAGTAGCCGAAGTTTGAATTTAGTAAGTTTTTTAGATGTATTAATAGTATGATAAGCATAAGGATTGTGGCCTGGTGATTGGTAATGTGGTAGAATATTTTGATAATAAGAGTGTACTAAGATTGTATCTTCTAAGTAAGAGAACCAAAAGAGTTTTCTGCCTTTAGGTAAGTATAATAATCTTGGTAAGAGATGTTTCTAGTCAAGTAAAGTACTATTGTCTGCAGTGCAGAGTTGTTCAAGATACATGATGTTTGATTGTCTAAGTTGCTTTTTGAAAGTTGGATATTTTGGATGCTATGATAGAATAGATTTTAATGATTGGCTACCATTACTAATTGTATAGGGCCAAGTCAAGTTGGAATTAGTGATTTGAACTAGTTGGGCTATAATCAGTTAACTGACCCAATCTGAATAAATTTTGGATAACTGGTTAAGTAAATTCTTAATCAGTTAAGAATTAGTAATCGGGTGGAAGGATCAAGAATGAGCAAGAATTCCGAAAAGGTCAAAAATTTGCATAAAGGTTCGAGACTTTTCGAAGGTAAAGTGTAAAGTAAATCTTAACCAGTTGAATCAGTTAGTATAATCTATTTTGGTTCAGTTAGCCAATTAAGAAAATTTTTCTCGGTTCAAATCATTAGTTAGAATTAACTGAGATGATTAACCTGAGATGAGAGAGAAGTTGAGTAATTTTAAAATTTAGTGAGTGTTTGTTAGGACCATCTATAGTAGGTTTGGAGTGATGTAATATACTAGTAGGGAACTATAAGTTGTTTTGTAATTGTTGGAGTCTAATTTGAGTTGTAATACCAAGAAGGTTAGAATTGTTAATTCATTAAAGATAGTTAGAGATGTGGTGTTGAAGTTGGATATCCCAGATATTATGTATGTTGTATAAAAATGAATTAAGCATTGTACTGTTTGGTATAGATCTAGAAAGATGAGATTTGTGTTTAGCTACAGTAAGGTATTTGGATAAGATTTGGTTGTATACAGTGCAAAGAAAAGTTATATTATGAAGTCTGTATTCTAAAGTTAAAATAATAACTGTGTTGATAATGTAAGCAATTTGTTTGTTAGTAATTTTCTTTGTATTGGCTATGTTAATAAGGCTAAAGCCCTCTTCTTTTATCAGCTTGATGGTTTGAAAGTATTTGTTGTTAAGTATAAACCAACATCCAAGGAACTTGAATGGTTGGTTTTTAGGAATAGAGTAAATTAGTGATCTGGAGAACCACAAAGATGAGGTAGAAAAATTTGTAGCTAGAATAGACTTAGTTGGATTAATTTGGATATTAGTCATATAGTAGAAGGAAGTAGCAGTTTTGGTTATTAGATTGAATTCATCTTTAGATTTTGCAATCCAAAGAATATCATCTATGTAGGCTAAAACTAATACAGATGTTTTTAAGCATTAGGTTTGGGGTAAGTGTAAGTTGGTTTTTCAGGATGTAGACAAAGAGTATCCTGAAAATTGTGATGCTATTCTATTGATTAAGGAGTCATAGTAGATTCTTTAGAATAAAGAAGTTATAGTTTCTCCTTAGTCTATACTATTTTTAACTGAATAAAAATCAGTAAGTCTTAGGTTAGATATTGTCGTCTTGGAAATTGTGAGTCTATCGCTAAACTAAGCCAACTCTCGTGTCACCTACGGCGGCTAAGTCATAACAGGCGTGTTAGATTTGGCAAGTGGATTATCGTCCGTAGGTAAGTACTAATCTCTTCTCTTGAGTCTTTCCTTCAACTTATTCTTCTTCTAATTTCTTTATCTTTTTCTATTGTGTCAACCAGGATTTCACTACGTCGAATCGGGGTTGGAACTCTTTGCTTTCGTTTCGGTTTGCTAGGCACGTAACTATGGCGAGCGCTCAATTACGGGTTTGGTTGTTCTTGGGGGGGTAGTGTTAGTACCGGGATTTAACGATAGTTGCTGAGCTTTTATGGAACAACACTTTCAATTTAATTATGGGTCGGGTAGGTAGTTTATATTCTGCAATTGGCCTTCCCCTTTCTCCTGGGCGAATTGCCCTTTATTTATAATAAACTGTCTTGTCTATTTACATTATAAATTGTCTAGGATATCGAACATATCTAATTTATCATATATATCGCATATATCTAATATATCACACTTATGCGATATAGGCGATATATCAGATATATCAGATATATCAAATATATCTGACATATCTGACATTTCTGACATTCGGGATTTACAACACGTGATATCGATCATGTTTTCGGATCTCACATTTCTCCTCTACTTAATTTATACATACCATGCATAAACTCTTACTTTTCTTGGCTGTAAAATTAGGAGCCCTTTCCTCCAGGATCAAAAGCCTTCGAGGCTGATCGAAGCAGAGATAAGTACTAAGTCATTTCTTCATTTACAGTTCCTTGTTCCACCTCTAATACCATTATTCTTTCTTTCATTTTAGGTTCATTTTTCAATATAAGAATCACTCCTTCAAGGGCCAATTTCAACACCTTTACGACAGCTTTTCTTTTTTCATCATTTTGTTGTTGGACACCTAGTTTCGGGTAAGTTTCACCAAGCTTTTCTGATTTTCCTGTTTCTTTTATTAACGATTTAAATTTTTCCACTCTTCTATTTTAATCATCACAGGCATCTCCAAGCTTTTCGAAATCCAGTAACTCAAGGCTTTGACTTTCTTCATCAGAAACGATCGTCTTTCCATCATCGTCACCATTGTCGTCATTATCATCGTCATCATAGTTGTCAAAAGTTTGACAGCTATCCTTTTCAACTTCAATTCCAGTTTCATAACGATATCCAACTTTATATATCTCATCAATGTGCTCAATTTCTGCTAGTTTTCAGTTGGGGTCGAAGGCTAGGTCTTCGTCTTTTCAAGTTCTACTTCGGCCAAGTCACCTTTCTATAGGGATTCTTGGACGACTCCTTCTGGAGCCCACTTTCGTGTGAGAGCTTCGCATTCGGTAATTAATTGCTAAAAAAGAAGGTCTAAGTTGGCTTTTCCTTCTTCAGAGCCAAAGGCAACACTCTACTGGGTTCTTGTATAGATTCATCAGGGTCATAGTAGATGTCGTAGTAGGCGTCGTGTACTGTATATGATGGTGGTTGAGACCTCAAGGGGACTTTCAGTATGGGCGAATTCCTTTTAGATAGGGTTAGGTGGACATATGGAGGTAGGTACACAATGGTTTCTTCTTGGGTCTTGGTGAAATGATCTTTATGGGATGCAGGGTAGGAACGATTGCACGAAACGGGTTCTTCCTTCTTCTTGACATCTTCAAGTATGTCTTCCAAGACTTTCAACAAGAATTCAAGAGCATAGGGAATTTGATCATCGTTAAGATGATGATTTCCAAAGGATTCATTGACGGTTTTTTGGACTTCATTAGCTTGCTCTTTGTTAAGTATGGCAAAACAGGCAGCACACTTCTCTTCCAAGAGGGCCATGTGTAGACACTTACTAATGACATGGCCTGTTACTCCACAATAGGAGCACCAAAGTTTTCGTTAGGGGCTTCGTCCAGTTGATTGGAGGATCCATGGAGCTTGTGACAGTTGTATCCTCAATTTTCGGGCTTTAACTTGTCTTCGGGGCTGTTTAGACATCATTTGCGAGTAAATATTGTACATTCTTTTGTCTTAGGTAGGTATGCTAAAACTTCCTTGCTTCTATTATTTTCATTTCTAATTACTAAATTTTTTTTTTTTTCTTTTTCTTTTCTTTTAATCTAATATATCCTTTTCTTCATGTTTCTTTATTTCAGGGGTTCTCTTGATTCCATATCTCACAGTTACTACCAAATTGTCATCTCAGAAATTGGTGAGTCTGTCGCTAAACTAAGCCAACTCTCGTGTCACCTATGGCGGCTAAGTCGAAACAGGCGTGTTAGATTTGGCGAGTGGATTATCATCCGTAGGTAAGTACTAGTCTCTTCTCTTGAGTCTTTCTTTCAACCTACTCTTCTTCTAATTTCTTTATCTTTTTCTATTGTGTCAACCGGGATTTCACTATGTCGAATCGGGGTTGGAACTCTTTGCTTTCGTTTCGGTTTGCTGGGCATGTGACTATGGCGAGTGCTCAATTACGGGTTTGGTTGTTCTTGGGGAGAGGTAGTATTAGTACTGGAATTTAACGATAGTTGCTGGGCTTTTATGGAACAATACTTTCAATTTAATTATGGGTCGGATAGGTAGTTTATGTTTCGCAATTGACCTTTCCCTTTCTCCTGGGCGAATTACCCTTTGTTTATAATAAACTGTCTTGTCTATTTACATTATAAATTGTCTAGAATATCGAACATATCTAATTTATCATATATATCGCATATATCTAATATATCACACTTATGCGATATAGGTGATATATCAGATATATCAGATATATCAAATATATCTGACATATCTGACATTTCTGACATTCAGGATTTACAACACGTGATATTGATCACGTTTTCAGATCTCACAATATAACACAGTTTTGGTAATCAGTAAGAAGATTAATAAGTATATAAATAAGTAATTGAGGCATTGATATATGTTTGAGGGACTTAGTAAAAAGATCGAAGTTTACAGAAACATATGTTTTGCTCATATTCTAAGACAAAAGCCAGAGTTGTTTGTTATTGCAACTGGTATCCTCGATAATATTATTAAGTATATGTATAGGGATAAAAGTACTATTACCAGGTAGAGCAATGTAGTTATAGGGGAATAAGATAGGATGTTAAGTGAATATTAGGTTAAGACAATTAGTGAGAAGTTTGGTATATAGTTTTTTAATATATTCAACTAGGCTAATAGGTC